GAGGAAACTGCAGTCCTGGGTCCCCCTCTTATCTGCATCCTGTTAGGTCTTGTCCAATGTTCCTTTGAAGCCCACTCTACCCTGCAACACTATCACCCTGGGCTGCAAAGAACCAATAAGCTCTTTCATCCAAAGAGAGAATAATAACAAAGGAGTGCCGTTCCCACATCACCACTCACTCAGAGGAAAACTGACCCAGACCAGGCAGAGCAGAAAATAATGTGTCAAGTAAAACATGTTTCCTAAAGAGATCACGTAAGATTAGAAAGAAAGCATAATGCCTTCTAAAACCATTGAGGGAACAAGAAAAAGACGGTTATCAAAATAAATATCTTAGCCGAGTCGATGTGGCTCAGTGGTTGAGTATCGACCCATTAACCAGGAGGTCACGGTTTGATTCCCAGTCAGGACACATGTCGGGATTGCCAACTTGATCCCCAGTAGGGGGTGTGCAGGAGGCAGCGATCAATGATTCTCTCTCCTCATTGATGTTTCTATCTCTCTCACCCTCTCCGTTCCTCTCTGAAATCAATAAAAATACATTTTAAAAATAAATAAACAAGCAAACAAACAAACAAACATCTTAGTGACCTCTTTTCCCATTACAAGGAATAATTCTTCAAATTTTAAATTTAAAATAAACATACAATGGGGGGGGGGGAGAAACAGTCTTCCGCATTGTGGAAGATGTATTTTGGTTCTGAAAAAATTAAAATGTGGAAATTGAGCCATCTCGGGCACCACCTATTACCCATCTCAATGAATCAGAGCAGCCCAGGCACCAAGTGGAACGTGGATGAGGAAAATGGATCTAAGATGCTTCAGGTTAGGAACATGCAAGGCTCCTCCCACCTGGGCCAGGCGTACTGACCTCGCAGGGAAGAAGGTCTGAGGGCCACGTGGGTCACCTGTCCCCCCCCTTGGTTTTAGGGGCCCCTCTTCCACAGAAAACAAGGAGTCCTTTCTCCGCTCTCCCAAAATGCCCGTAGCTTCCCAGGGCGCCCCAAACTCAAATGGAGAAGTTACATCTTGATTTAGTGGTGCAAGTCGGAAGGCCTAAATCCCTCACTCATTTATTTATATATTTATTTTTGGCATTCTACGTTCTAAAATGGATTTTTAATCCCCAGGCATCAAATATGGCAAGACTCTACCACTTGAATGACATGGTAACAGACATGAATGACTTGCAATCAAATGGGGAAATGCCCCAGGAGACAAAATCACACCCTATTCAACCAGCACAGCAGCGCTTCCTCTGAGCCCAGGCTCTCACGGGAAAGAGGAGCGCCCCTAGTGGGAAGAAGCAGGGCGAAGTTTGGCCCAGCAGCTCCTTGTAGTTCCCTCTTGTTCAAACTTAAAACAGAGCACATTCTGACACCAAGGCAAAAACTGAAAATAAGTGAAAAGGCTGCTGCCCTCGTGTTCTTAACTCATATAACAAAGGCCCACCTGGCTTTGGACAGAGACCTGTCCATGGCACATGAATGCTGGATGGGAGGCAACTGCACACTCCCTTCCGGCCTGTTACCAGCATACATGCTTTTTCCTCCTCCCATCACAACTCAAACATTCCCACAGGCCAACAATGAGGGGGCGAGGACTTCAGCAGAGGCCCAGTGTGCTTCCCCATAAGGGGATCTTTCAACACCCACCCTCAAGCACCGCCTGAGGATGAGATCAGACTCTATTCTATAGGCCATGAAACAAGCTGACTTTGTGATCAGCTGGCCGGCCTCCTGTGAGGCCCTAACGATGGAAAAGGATTGGTTTCGCCCACAGGGACCTCATTCCCTATGCAGGAAGCCTAGCCAAACCATTTTTAAATAAGTACATTCAGGGACAGGCAAAGAAACATTTATAAGAGCCTCTATGAAGCTCCCATTTATAAGAACCCCTTCTCTCTCTCCTCCCTTCCTCCCTCTGCTCTGACCCCAAATCACACCACATACACAGTCACACACACACACACACACACACACACACCACTGCTGGGTCCACTGTCCTAAGTATCTCTGTCTGTTTCTCTGATGACAGCCTCCTCCTCTATAATGAATCTACAATGGCTACCCATTTAACATCAGACCATGGTCAAATGACACACCTGAGCACTGAAATTCCTGAAAGACTTGGTCATTTTACCTACTCATGTCTACTCTGTCCTTCTACACATGTCTGTTCTTGTTATTTTCTCTTCTCTCTACCTGTACAGTTTAGTCACTAAGAACACATTCTGCCTGGGTTCAAATCCCAACTCCACCAACCAGAACTGGAGACCTTGAGTTAGGTACTTACATGACTCAATGCCTCAGTTTCCTCCTCTGGTGAGCAGAACAGTGACAAATGAGATGACACAGGTGAAAGTTCAGAATAAAACCTGGCACATGGTATCACCCAATAAATACTAAATACTAGCAATTAAGACACTCATTATCACACAAGCCACTTCCTCCATGAAGCCTTCCCTAATTACACGACTTCATATCTTCTGGTTCT